TGAAAGGTTGAAGAGTAGTTGTAAGAAACTTGAATAACACTTAAAATGTGATGCATGCTCTGATATTAAATGGATATAATTGTTCTTAGAATTGAGAATGTTGAGAGGAAATTACCAAAAGAGATTGAAAATGCAATTGAAGTATTGGATTATTTGAAATAAATGAATATTTGTATCCCGAATGTATGGATTGCTTATAGAATAAATCTCACTGATATTTTTGTCCATTGAAAAATATATTACCGTGAAGCTTCATTTTACGAGCCTGGTTGATAATTTGCAGTTCAAAAGGAAACAAAGATAATATTTTATTTATCTATGAATTGTGGATTTACATATATTCTGTGTTTTTTTTTCATTATATATATATATATATATATATATATATATATATATATATATATATATATATATATATATATATATATATATGTTGGTTATTTATTTGTCCACTATCTAATTCCATCATTTAGAATCGCCAAAATAAAATTCGCTCAGTTAAGCTCTCTAGAGTTGTCTAACTCGATAAAGGATTCAAATAATATACCGGTAAATTTTGATGGCAACTCGGAAATAACATTGTGCCAAACAATAGAGCCATGTACATAAGCTTTAAATTCATCACCAGTGCTATTATAGTATGTAAAGCTTCAGGTCACACTTTTCATGTCTATCTATCCATCGATGACTATGAATAAATTTCATAATTTTGCACTCCATCAATACATTTATTGCATGCACTACAATAGTTTGACCGATGGCAGGTACACCAAGTTCATTTTGAATATCTCCATCATTCAAAGAATAACACATATCTTATATGCATTATATATAACAATTAATAAATAGATAAAAAACAAGAGAGAAAATAGTTAGTGTACTCAAAACTTGGACGTAAGGCATTTTGCTTTTGTTGTAAATTATTCAAGCGGGATGGAGTAAAAGTGCAATTGTCTACAAATGGTTTTGGAGATTAAAAAAATATTTGAAATATGTAGGGTCATGAATGTAGTAATCTTTGGCATTATCCAGCGTATATATTGTTTATTTTCAGCACTAACAAAATGGTGAAACATCTGCAACAAATGATTAACGTAAGCGATAGTGCCTATCAAAGTATGTTGACCTCATTGCTGACAACTAATGGTTGGCCTCTCAAATAAGGAACTTGAAAAATGATTATCAACGCTTATTTAATATCATAACAAACTTTTGCGAGACTTCGGTGTCTGAAAATTGGGTGAAGGTCTAAAAAGTTTTAAGAGATGTGAGGGGTGATGGGGATGGACCCTCCGGAGTTGCCCAGAGGGTCCCTCGCACCCATGGAGGTTGTAGGAAATATGGCTATGACACTGGCGCAAATATGCATGAAGTAAATCTTATAATTCTTCGAGATGCTGCAAATGTAGGGGAAATAAGGCTTGTCTTTGGGGTCAGTAAAGGCATTCATGATGATAATGTCTATAAAAACCAACCGCATGTAGTGCCAAACCCCCTGAAGAAGATCCATAAGAGGAATCCCGATGAGGATCTAGAGGAAGACCCAGCGGACGATTCAGACGAGAAACCAAATGAAGATCTAGAAGAGGAGCCGAAAAATCACCCTGGGAGAAACTGGATACCTGGACCTATTTAATAGGAAATCAGTCCTTATGAGCCTATAAAATATTGCCTCATGTATCAATCATACGCCTAGAAATTTATGATTTTCCAAGAGTTTAATTCAAGATATGACTCTTAACCAATAGAACATGTATAAAAATTTCAAATATTTTTCGAATAACATTCATGGAAATTTAAAACAAGAAAAACAATACCATAGATTCCAAGCATCATTTTGCTTATAGTTGTTTGTTTTCAATTTATTGTAAATATTCATCCATGTAAGTTTTGTAATAGTTGTTTAATGTGTTAAAAAACTATTTAAAATGGCAAATAGGCTCATGACTCGGGATTTAAATGCACGTAGGTCAAGACAAAAAACAGTCTCTCAAATAAATCCATCATCATGTATTTTGTCTAAAATACCCCTTCGTAATATATTTTTCATCAATTCCATCAATTATATTTTAAATTTATTGATATTGTACATTGACCACTGATTTGTACAAATAAATCACATTAACCCTCATTTCCTTAATTTTTTGAAAAAATATTTTTTTTTAGATAATAATCTTTTTTCAGAATTTGTTTACCCGCCACATTCCGACGTTGACTTTTATTTATTTATTTTATTTTTATTTTTATTTTTTGAAAAAAAAATTCTGAAATATGTTTCCGGCCGGTCAACCGCCATTGGCCGTCGATCTCCGACGTTGACTTCTTTTTTCTTTTCCTTTTTTATGAAACTTTTTTTCTCTCTGAATGACTGTGTTAACAACAAAATTATTATCTAAGACACTAATATTGAAAACAGTAATATTACTATCCCAAATATTAATATTACTAATATTACTATCCCAAACTGTAATATTACCGCATGACATAGTAATATTACAAGTTAAAGATAGCAAAATTGCAGGTCAAGGCGATAAAATTATTTAATACAGTAAAATTACTATCTCAGACAGTAAAATTAATGTCTTAGACAGTTAAATTACTGTCTCCGACAGTAATATTACTTACTGTCTCCGAGATAATAATATGCAGGCCAAGACAATAACATTAAGGGTAAATTACAACCAACCCCTTGAGGTATGGTCAAATTAAAATCCCTCTCCTGTTTGGGTAATTACAACCACCCCTCAACTATAAATCTTCTTACACGTCTACCCTTGCGGTTTCAAATTTAGTGGAATGTTCGAGATTATATGGAATATTATCCCCTTCGAACTCCACATTTTGAAGCAAGATGATCATAATATGTGTTTTTTGGCTTGTATATATCAGATTGTGGTGCATCATAAACTGTATTTTTACACAAAATGGGTACAAAGTAGAGCACATTTCACGAAATATAGATGGTTATGTTGAATTTGACACCATAAGGGTGGAGGTGTAAGAAAAAATCATAGTTGATGGGGGTAGATGTAATTATCCAAACAAGAGGGGTTTTTTCGTAAATTGTCTATACCTCATAAGGTGGTTGTAATTTACCCTAATATTAATGAAAATGTTTTTTTTAAGAAAAAAAAATTCAACGCCGGACACCGGGGGTTGACCTGCTGGAAAAAAATTCAGACAAAAAAAAGTTTACAAAAAAAAAAAAGTTCAACGGCGCTGACCGGCGGTCTCTGGCGGTGGCGGTTAAAATTGGAATAAGGGTCAAAATTGGTTAATTGGTGAAATTTGGCTAAATTGGGGTGTAAATCATGAAATTGAAGTTGAATTGGGGTTTCAAGGAGGTGGGGCTAATTTTGGTATAATTATAGCCACCCTCCTGATTTATGGTCTAATTACGAAAATCCCCTCTTGTTTGGGTAATTACAACCACCCCTCAATTATGTATTATCTTACAAAAAGACCCCTCCAAAGGTAAATTTAAGGATGTTAATTCGGTAAAATCGAATCGAAATTTCGGTACGCTAACATTTCATACATTTTACCAAACTAAATATACGATTTGGTTCAGTAAATAACCAAATTATATAAATTTTATGTAAAAGTATTTAAAATAAGGGGTGGTCGTAATTATCCAAACAAGATGGGGTTTTCATAATTTGGCCATTCCTCAGGGGAAGTGGCTGTAATTTGCCCTAAGTTTGTATAAGATGGATTTATTTGCAACACAAAAAAGTCGAATGTCCTTTTTTTAATTAAGTGCTCTTGTCATGGGATTTATTTGCCATTTATAATTAAAAAACCTACATGGTTGAATATTTACAATAAATTGCTCGAATAAATATAAAACATAAATACAATTTATTATTATTTTGATGAAATAATTCTGAAATTATATACATGTCCAACACTATAATCGATGTTAGGTTTTTTTTCCTTTTAATTATTTGTTTAATTAATGTTAATAGTCATTTAATAATGTTAAACGAATGGTAATTACTGTTTCAAAAATTTTAATATTAAACATCTTCATATCAAAAGTACTGTTTCAACTTTTTTTAAATAAATGTTGTGGGAATATTGAATAAACAATACTAAATATTTTAATAATAAAAAAAAAAAAATTAAAAGATGCTAAAGAGAATCGTAGTACGAAAATGTTGAACTCATTATTGTTTTTGAATGATTTTGAGAGAATGCCATAAAGAGAAGCAGTGATAGAGAATAGAGGTAGAGAGAGAATTTTATAATATTAGACAGATAAATTTTTAAAATTTAGTGGAATCTTCTAGATTGTGTTAAATATTCTCCAGTTTGTATTTGTTTTACCCTATTCGAGCTCCACATTTTGAAACAAGATGATCATCAAATGTATCTTTTAGCTTGTAAATATCAGATTGTGGTGCATTATAAACTGTTTAATTTTTCTGGTACAAACAAGAAAACATTTCTCATAACCTAGAAGATTATATTGAATTTAACATCATAAGGGTGTACGTGTAAGAAGATTCATAGTCGATGGATGATTGTAATTACACAAACATGAAGGGGGTTTTTCGTAATTTGACCTTACCTCAAGGCTGGTAGTAATTTACCTTTTAAATCAGGAAACTCATAAACCAACTTAGGTTTCAACACGACCAATACTTCACTTTCGAAATATCGTTCAATATTCACGAAGCTGCAAGTATACATCTCCATTCCTAGTACAAAACCATAATTTCATACTCTACAATATGTTTTATTCATTTGCAACTGTAATTTGCTTCAGGTTTAGTTTAGTCCTGGATTTCACATTCGATTCACAAATTCACTTGCCTTCATCATACTAACTATTTTCTAGTGCCATTGACTATAAGTGCCACTGATTCACAAAATCATGAAACCGAATAACATGTGCGGATACAAAAGCCGAAATAACAAAACCAGCATACTGCATGTCTAGACTATGTATCCAATCAACCGTAGCATAAAAAAAATATCGAATACGAATACACAAATAGATAAGCAAACCACATTTTTGCCACAAACAATTGAACCAAAGACGATAGTCGATAACACATACAGATCACACTCGAATAATCTAAAAGATAAATATGTCCCAGAAAACATAGTGGTTTCGTAACAATCGTAAATCAGATGGATCGGGAAGAAAATGAAAATATAATAAAAAAAAATTGGTCGTGCCCGCTCTGCGGTCCTAATTAAGGATACACTATACAAAAACAAATCTGGTAAAGGAAAAAATATATATATTCAAATTGTCAATCCACAGCCTGCCATAAAACATTGATCTCAAATTATCTCTTTGTAACTTTCTTGTTTCAGCAAATTACCCTGAAGAATACATAATGCGCAGAAGGAGAAACTGCATCAAAAGTGGGGTCCACGCATGATCGTGCGGTTGGAAGATGATACAGACAGTGGTGTTCTCCCTAAATAGGCCATGAGCAATAACATCTCACAACTCCTCTCTTTATTTTAGCACCTAATTTCATACGAACCAGCTTTTGTAATGTAACGAACCCATTCAACGGTGTTGTATCCGCTCTTTTCCCACACCTACAGAAAGTTGATCGTAATTATTGCAGTTTTACAATACTTTGTCAAATGTCGTAGTATATTATTAAATGGAAACTGCCAAAATACCTTGAGGAAACGAACACGCAATCCAGAAGCTGTGAACATAGGAACCTGTCACATGAATAGAGTAGAAATTATTTTTACATGTATCGAATCTCATAACCCCCGACTATAAGACTGCCGCTCCCCTTAATGTGCTACTTAGCTGATGAGTGTCTTCTTCAAGTAAAAGAGAATCATTATTTCCTGAAGCTATGATTTTAACGCTCACTTGATTTATTAAGATTCAAAATAAAGGTCAGAAGGAAACGATTATCTTCCTATGACTAGATTAACATTCGGAAAATGTTACCCATAGAGGAGAAATTGAAGGAGATGACAGTTAGGAGAGAGTAGAAAAGGGGAAAACGGGAGAGGGAATAGTAACGTATATGCAAAATATTCACAAGAACAACACTAGTGTATACATAACCAGCCCAACAAACACAACCAGAGAAGATTTCATCTACCAATACCAACCTTGTATTTTTATGGATCACTCTGGTATAGACATATCTCTTTCTTGAAAATGAAACTTTTGCAAGCAAAAGTTGATTTTCTGTTGACGGTCATATGGCCATGCATTAATCGAACATGTCTTAACAACTCCTAGTCGGTCAGTACATTATATATTTTTCTTTTAAAAGAGATTTCTCGTCAAAAAAATTGACTTTGTTAGGGGGATTGACTGAACTATTATAATTTAATAGTAACTACTTGCTTAGGCACCTGAAATTCCATCTGAATTGGAGGGCGGGTCCAGGACTTCTTTTCTGTCATTGTTGATATCAGCTCTACTTCTGCACTCAAGGTTGGCTCAGTTTGTCCTGGAAATTTTCTTATCCTGCAAACAATCCAACATGACCACAATCACGATTGATAACAAATATGACAAAGTAAAATGCTTTTAGGCTATTTCACACTGATGCGAAAATATAAAATAACTTTAACACACAACCTCGGCCCTTGATAAGGGAAAAAGACCACCAGAAAATGCTAAATAAAGCATTTTATTTGAACACAATTGGAAACTCCCTCGAAAACATTAGATGACCTTTACCATCCACACAGTCAATATTTGGCCATGAGTGGTTCTCATGTGCAGTGTCTGTGGTAGCTAAAGTGATGGTGAAATTGCAGATTGTATCCACTCATGTCAAAGGTCATTTCACCCTGATTTAAGGTACAACTTTAATCTAAAGATAATGATTTCCCTTTCAGATGAGTGATGCTACAAATTAAATATCGGCAATAGCTGCCAGTAATGTAGGCATCAAACATTATTTATCATTTACATTCTCAATAAATCTACAACTATCAACTTACATTTCAAAATCTAAATGTATCCAACTGGAACAGTTCATCCCACATGATTCCACTAAATATTTAGTCAGGAATGTCTTACAACTCCGATTTCTACTCTTTTGTCAATTTTTATGCACAAGATCAGGTTGGTCATACCCAACGACTCCGTGTACTAGTAGGAATTTAGTGTCATTGGTACACAATATAAGATTCAACAAAACAGAAAGTGCTAACTAAGCCAAATAATGCCAGCTTTTGGACTTTTGGATAGTTCAGTATGATTTTGAGGAAATTATACGATAACCGATTACAAAAAAATTATATAAAAAATGGACTGCGCCCATGCAATCCCACTTACATTTTTTATATATATAAAGGTGAAGGTGTGGGTTGAATCAATTCATTTGTTAGCCATTTATTTTGTTTTCTTTTCAACTTTCTAAATTACTCATTGAACGTGTTCAGTGAGAGTTATAGTTATAATGTTGACACAGAGTAATCTGTGACAGTGATATCCAGATTCTTAATATGCTCATGATAGTCATGTGCATAAATAAATTATGCAACATCTTGCAAAGAAAGAGGGTGTTGATAGTTCGGTAAATCTACTGAACCGAACTAAAACCAAAAAATTGCTGTCTCAAAATTGAACCGAAAAAATCAATTTGGTATTCGGTTAGGTTTTCATCATATATGGATTTACAGAACCGTACAAAATATTTAATTATTTACTCGAGTGACAACAAAAAAGTATTTTATGCAGCTGCACAAACAGTTTCTGTAGTTTCCACAAAATATTGTCTTTTCATTTATAGAAAAATATTTTTGTTGTCCAATTTTAAGAATAACATATATTGCTGATTTTGTAAATTTCATATTAAATATTAACATCGTACAACTAAATGAATTGGTTTTATATGGTAATTGCCGAATTTTACCAGTATTTTTGGTACTGTATCTTCTCTTACTTTCTATATTTTATATTTTTTTAGCAAGTAAAAAGAAGTAATTGCCAAATTTTACTAGTAGTTTGGTTTTAAATAAAATTACTTCCAGATAGGAGCTCCCAGATTGCTCACGAGATTAAGAATATGTCTTATGAGGCTAAGAACATTGTACAGTCACATGATTGCACATTTCCTTAAAATTTCTCTTTAAAGTGAAACTGAAAATGAACGGTGCAAGAGAATGAAAGCTATTCTACCGAAATAAAAGTGAAAACACTCAGATGATGTAATGCCAGAAATTAACAACTTACTTCCAAATCAAACAGTCAGTAGAAGGACTGTATTTTGCTCGGCCTGATGTCACCTGAAAACTTGTTTTTGCTGTTTGCTTTGGTACTGGAATCTTAATAACCACTCCAAGTGCAAACATTTTTGCCCCAAAAACACTCTTCACCTAAAATGAAGAGCAAGTGTGTAAAAAATGTGGGGTAGTTATTGCCAATCATTGCAAATTAAAGTTAGATGACTAACCTTTACGTTCACCTCCATACGTGTTCGACCCAATTCCTTGATAGTTGGCAAAACCCGAAATGGAAGATTAACCCCCTCCGTAATACGATACCTACAGCAAAGGCATTACACTTATAATGAGGAAACTGAAATCCAAGGGAAAACCTATTTTGTTCTCTATAAAGATGATATTTAAGCAATAAAATTTGAATCTTTGAAGATAATTCGAATTTTAAAGGCGAACAGTAAAAATGTAACTGAAAGAACCACATGAAATGGTGATAAAGTAAAATGTGGAGTAGACACAGACAAGTAAAGCTGTTTAGAGATGTGTAACGCTTGCACAAAGAAGAGGTTTCATTTGAACTTATCTTTTAAGCATATTTAAAATCCTAGGAATACACTTGAAATTTTATAAGCCAAGAGTTTCCTACTTATGGCATGTGGGAACTAGAAGAAAAGGATTAGATAGATGCTTTTTTTATGTTCATGAAAGAGGAGTTAGTTCATGAAAGACTTTCAAAACTTACACAATAAGACTAATGCAGCTAATTTTGCTGCACAAGCATAAAGTCCAGAATTGAGGATCACAAATTAAATTTGAAAGGTCAACTTACTTCATCAATTCAAATTCACCATCCGGAGGAACAAAACTAACGGTCTTCTCCGAATTGAATCTTGTAAGGTTTACACATTGATGGAAAGTGACATCATCAAGCTCAATAGTTTTCCCACTGCAAAGCAACAAGAGAAAACAAGGTAATGAAGGAAACACAGAATGATCTTAGGGGCTGAAAATAACATACTACATGTCGATAACAATCTCAAGAAAGAGAACTAGAACTGCAACTGAAAAATATTGCAACACCAGCAGGGAACATAATTTTCTGATTAATTTAAATGCTGCATAATTTCAGAAAGCAGATATAAAGAAATTAATAATATTGTAGGAAATTTTTAGGATGGATGAAGGGTAACATGGCAACAAGTTTTTGTCTATTAAGATGGGTGAATATATCAATCCCGACTGTTGCATAAACACAATATTGATGGAACTAATCATAGAGTAAAATGCAAGCCCCCAAAAAAAGATGTTCGACAATTTGATCTGTTTCTCTTAGCACTCTATGTTGAATAGTTACTCTCACCACCACCAATTTGATCCGTTCCAGGTATTCCAGAAAAAAAAAGACGTTTGACAATTTCAAATAAAATTTAGCCATTCAACTTCCTACACAGAATACACTCTTTATTGTCCCGGCTTACGAATCAAATACAAATTATTTTGTTTGCAAATCACTAACTTGAATTTAAGTCCACTATGATAAACAAATATTGACAATTTTAATGTCAACATCTCCTACAATTTGCAAGTCCAAAATTAACCTTAAAAATTGTGGTAAAAACATTCATCAGTTGTAAGGTGAACTAACGGAAAGCAATACCTGCCTTTCAAAGATATCTAACAATTTAGCACTACAGCCAGACATACTAACTTAATTATTTAAACTACTGATGCAATGGGAAAAGCAAGGATGAAAATGAATGAAACAAGTACATTGAACATATATCTTTAAATTGTTACCGTGTATGTTGCATTAGATACTAACACAGTGTTTCCAGGTGAACCACCACAGTTTCACTTACAAAAAAGAACTGGAAGAAAAGCTCTACCCAACCTTAAAAGTACAAACTCCCTATAAGGCAAATCATCATCTAACTACTGGTTATAGTACATACCAGAGGGCTAACAAGAGGAAACTAAAGAAAATGTGATGATACAATTTTAGCCTAGTTCTCTTCAATTCATTAATTGCTTAGGACATTAACCATGAATATACCCGTGCGCCGAGCACTTGATAGTTCACATTAAAGAAAGATATTACTTGAAATTTGTCCAAAAAACTTAGTATCATGAATAATGTACAATTGCTTAACCAATCATTGATCTGGTTTAAAGTAAATAAAAAATTAAAAGTGAAGGTCAATATGTTCGCTGTCATTAGCAAATCATTACAATGGAACTTGCATTTTATGCATCCAGTTGATTAGTTGTAATACAATGGGTTTAATATATGGATACGAAGCTACCTCTTAGCAGGACGGGATTTAAGCTGTGATTCTTTCTCAAGTCCAATTTTATCATTTAATCCCAACTTCAAATCAGGCATTCCAGAAAGGAAACATTTCATGAGAATCTTCCCAGTTACATCGCACCGCAGAACGCTACCTTTAAAATCAGAATGAACAATGACCAACAAGGAATCATTAACCCAATAAGTTGCTCTTTAAAAGGTAACAGGAAAATAAGGAGATTGCATCAATTAAATATTTTCAGAATAAATGGACTAGTTACCTTTTGAAGACATAAGAAGATTAACACTTTCCACAATATCAAGGAACACCTGTTAACAAAACGGAACTTAGTCCAGCCTAATAGCAATAACAAAAAATTATTAGATTGCAGTAGAGTAACTTGAAGAGACTGACTACCTCATTTTTCTTATAGACAAGACCTTCCCTGCGCCAGCCAACAGCACCAGTAACTTGCAGTGTTGCATTTGGAACTGGTTTGTCAGAGGCCTGTTTGATTATTCAGATATGCCAAGGGTGACGAGTCAGGAAAATCCACCATACAAATATACAGAATAACTTACTTATTGACCTCTTGAACTCTATAACCTCAATTTTACTGCATATTTAAGAAACTTTTAAGCAAATCTCTAACCTTGGATGAAAATGGAGACCGTACACCTTCCTGAGTTATGTAAAGCTTCAAGATTTCTGGCGAAAGATTTTGAGGGTAACCAAAGTCCATTATTTCTGCAATTGAAATGCAAAAATTAGAAATTTCGTCCAGGCATTCAGTCAGTTTGGGTCCATAAAGATGTTATATTATCATTTTCTACTATTTTGTTCATAAAGTACTGTAAATATGGCACAAGTGCCTGCAAATACTTGTCAAAAAACTTAGACAGGCAAATAGCCTCCTTCACACACAGTAACATTGGGCTACTATAATATGACAGTTGAGGGTTTTGGTTACTTAATAGGAGAAGGAGAAACAGCTAAGTAGCCACATCAAAGAGCTTCAAGAAATATGAAAATTGTAGATATTCTTTCACTAAGAAAATCCTTATCTATCCTATGTTTTGATTTACAGAATCAATACTTTGGGCTTTTTCTACATTTTTTTTCCTAAAAGAAGAGAGTGCAGAAAAGTAAACTTTATAACATCATGAGTAAGAGTTTAAATTAGAATCCAAACTTGCCAGCTGCAGTAATTTTACAGAAAAAAAAAATTATGTGACTGAAAATATTATAAAGATGGAAAATATCTAGAAAACATTCTCCATTTGACATACCATCCAACAGTTCATATATCAAAACAAAGTTATTGCGGATAGCATCCTCGTCAAAAGCTCCTCCAAAATAAGATTTAAATAGTGTGACCGCCTGCAAATAGAGCAGATGAACGCATCAACCAAACTAAAAGAAATGTATAGAAGTTGAATTTTATTGACAGGTGACTTTGTTGACAGCTCGCTGAGAGATATGAAGGTAAGTTAAGATACACGGCCATAAAGTTCATTATGGATTGATTATCTATCTTAAAGGACAAACGGTAGGAGGTAGAAACGACTTCATTTATAGAACTTCAAACTAGAAAAATGAGAATAGTATGAAAATAATGATGCTATAAACAAGCAGATGTTCTTTGCAATCAGAGCTTACTAAGGACAAACAGACTAGTTTCACCAACAACCCCTATGTCTGTGAAATAAAAAATATCCAGAAGCCTCGTGAGGCGGTGTAGTTCTAAAACGGAAGTGTACATTTTAAAAATACAGTAATGAGTAAACAAATGTACCTCAACAACAAACTTGAATGCACAAGCAACATTGGCATTGCTGCTTACAACAATCACGATGTAAACATTGCTAATCCTCATGTAAAAGAAGGAGCATCCACCAATCTGCCGTACAGGACAAGTGCCAAGTTCCTTTGTTTGCATTATATGCACTCGGAAAGCATCCACCATGTTGCCTCTGATCGTTTTAACATAGAAATGAATAAGAATTTACAGTTTTATGTCATCTAAAGTTACTTTTCAGCAGTAAATGTAATTAGCAGTTCTGAGATCAACCAAAATACGACAATCAACAAATAATAAGGAATAAATTAAACAGTAATCTTAAGAAAATGGTAGCAATGACATTAGAAATGAATTACACAACAATTAAGTTTTCAAACTAAGATATACGACTTCACCCTTCAAAGAACCTTGAAGCAAAACCTCTGTCAAGTAGTTATATAATAGCAGTTACATGGATGGACAAAAATTAAGCTTCAGAAGCCTAAAAGTTGTTGGAGACTGAAAGATGGTGAGAATATTTTTTTCCCAGTTACATATCAATTTTACATTTGAAGTTGAAACCAGCTCAAATTCAACCTTCCATAGTCTTTAAATCCAAGAAAAAATGAGTGAATACTAAGAGTTCAGGCCAGTCAGTTTTTTAGGATCTCTGGATTTGACGAGTATAAGGGATCGATGCGGATGAAGGCGACTCTGGACATTGTATTGAAAATTATGGTGCCTTTTGGGTGATGCGTCCTCTATGCAAAATTTACACCAATGAGATAGTGATGTATTAGCATGGGTAATACATGGTAAGGTAAACTATCTTATACTTGTAGAAATACAGTATTGTTAATGCTGAACATATGTCATACGAAGAATAGTAGAATAGAGTATAGTAACCAAGGAAGGAACACTTGGTGCGTAAAAGACAAATATTTAAAGAAACAGCTCATTAGGCTGTACTTACTTATTTTAATCGTTCCATGGGTGAATATGAGTTCATAGTTCCCGTCTAATCATAAACAAATGAAGTCATATGCATATCATTTCAGCTACCTTCTTACTACTATTCAACAACAATGTTCAGAGTTCTGACTTCTTACTCCTGGCTAATTTGCCTGAAGGTATATTTTAGCATGTAAGAGTAGCTAGTATCTGATACAAAATTGTCCATAATTTTGAATCAGATTTTTGTAACCTATTATTGAACATTGGCAGAAAGAGCCGATTTGTTAAGTGCAACATATAGACTCTTCTGTTATTTATTTAACTCCATCGTTTACACAAGTAAACTGGAAGCTGGAAGAAGGCAAAAGATTAAGTGAAGGAGGACTACAAAATATGAAATATTGTCTCGAGTATACTGGTTTCCTTATTAAAAGTAAATAGACTTTTCCGACGTACCTAAAGGGTACTCAATTTTGTTATTGAACAATACTGTTAGTGAAAAATAACTTGTTACACCTATATGAGATTTTGTTCTGATAAACTGTACGGGGCATAATTAAAACAAACATAAAGGCTTAACTCTTTTCATATTTTTTGTCCATGTCCAAAATGAAATATGAATATTTGGTGAGAGGGTGATTCATTTACCCCAAGTTCGAGATTTCTTTCGACATGCCTTAAGGTATGTTACAGAAAGTAAAGGGCCTGGTTGGTCTTTGGGCCTACTTATGTTACATGTCCATCTATATTCGAATTACAATCTAAAGATCTCTAAATTGTGTATGTACATTAAGATTAAGAAACCATATGAGATGGAACAGAATCCATGAGTTATATTTCGTGTGAATCGACCATATGACAATTGGACCAATGCAAAGAATAGTTTATGGGATGAGTCGAGGGACTATTTTCATTGTTAATTACTTGATGGACTTATTCACCAGGACGGAAACACGAGCTGCTCCGTGCATCAAATTTGCAGCACTAACCACCCAAAAGGGGTCGTCTTTAATGGATAGGAACCAGTTTATGCGAGGAATCAAAAGCTCAATAATCGACTAGCCAAAGAACTATGGAAAATGCAAATTCTTCTAAAATCTAATCCTGCCACTAACATGCTCGTAGCCTCAGACAAAAGAAACTTCAGTTCTGTGACTTCCTGACATCTTATACCCAAATTCACAGAGTCATCTCACAAAAGCAAATGGTAATTTCTTTCTCTTAATTTATGTCTCTAACAGCTGAAGGAAGCCTTAAACTCCAAATCATTTCCGCCCCATGATTTTTTCCTCAATGATACAACTACAGATTCAAAACCCATTTATTTCCCACCCAATGATTAATGACACAATAACTACAACTTAGCTTACTTTCTGCCCTTACACCGATTTCCTTACACATTTCTCTCACATCTTCAAATAATTTTCCAAAACCCCCAAAAAAGAAAAAAAGGATAAACTGCAAAATTCAATCACGCACTAAACAAATTTCATATAAACACAACATCGACCATTCAATTCAATCTCAAAACAAGTATTAACAGCAAAAATTAAGAAACTTTCAAGCAAAGAAAATTACAAAAAAAGTGAGGGAAAGAAGAGGAGGTACTGACCCGACGTCGTCGCGGTAGAGGCGATTAATGAGGACATCGCCACGAAGATTGAGGAAGTAAATAGCGGAAGCTGCCACCGGCATGGCTGCAGAATCTCACCGGAGCTCCGATCGAATCAGATTAGAACGAGATCTGCTGCTTCCCTAAATCGATTGATTATTGCGATCTAAACGAATTCAAATGTAGTCTTCAGTCAGCGAAATGGGTTTTCACCTACTGCTTCTTCGGTTGGGTATTCTGTCAGGGGTGGTGGAAAAAGCGTGCGTCCACTTATAAAACGTACTTCATCTTTTTCCAATTTTCTAATTTTATAAATAAAATTCATACGTGACTTTTAATTTTTGAAATAATTCCACAAATTCTTTATTTTTTTCAAAAATTTACATTTATCGTATTATTATTACTAGATGTTGGGTCCGTGCGATGCACGGGATAGAAGTAAAATTAATAAAAAAGTAAAGTTCAATTTAAACACAAAATTGAAGTTTCAATTTATTTTGATGTTTTGCTATATGTATTGATGATTATCCCTCATCCATAAGCCATATTTATTAATTTAAGTTTATGTTTTTTTTTTCTTTTTTGAGAGGGACGAAATGATTTATTGGGCAATCGATGCCAAAGAGGGTGGAAGGATGACGCCTTCCGCCGATTCAAAGTTCGAAGAAAAAGCTAAAGAATGTGCTAGGCGATTACCTTGTCTCAAGACAAACGAAAACGAACAAGACAAAAAAAATTGACGTAAAACGATACAGTCATCAACAATAGCTCCAAAAAGAGTGTGAGAAGGCTCGCCCTCTTGAAATACTTCAATCACAATCGCTTTCCAGAATGACCACTGGCCAACCTTTATTGATCGCAGATACCATAGCCGTTTGAATTGACCTAACTTCTCCAACCTCCACCGTTGGCCGGCCAAGGAGTTTCTCCACTTTCCACAGTAGGCACTGACCTGTAGAGTCTCGGGCCATCATAGTAGTGATGTAGAAATCTTTGTCTGGGGGAAAAGCCGCATCCACATTGATTTGATCGTGCCTTCCGGGGACAAATCCCACTGCTATTTTCCTTACCCCGCCCAACTTCGTCCGAACACCTGTTTGCACTTGTGAATGCCTTGAGATAATGGGCACACCAGCCAAGTCCATCATACTTTCTATCTTCATTATTTGCATGGAGTTCCCTATTTCTCCTATCCCATAAATACCAACAAAAAACAAAAGCTAGCAAGTACTTATCTTTATCTAGAGAATGAGTGAGAAACTCTACCCACCGACGAAATGATGAAATTTTGGTGACCTCATGTTCCGGCAAGAAGAAGGGGCTGCCAATCCAGATGGTACGTGTGGCCTTGCATCGGGTCAGAATATGTATGAGGGTTTCATCAATGGTGCGGCAATGCGGGCAGAGAGGTGATGAAATAATCTTGCGTCGGCAAAGCTCTACGTTCGTTGGCAGGCATTCTGCATAGGCCCTCCAAAGAAATATTTTGACTTTCGGCGAGAGTGCTAGCTTCCACAAGTGTTTCCATTTTCCGACAACGATTCCGCTACCCGAGCCTTTAATTGTATCGTTATTCCGGCGAATCGTAGCGTGAAGTTGGGTGAGAATGGAGTGGTAACATGACTTTACCGTGAATATGCCTGCTTTAGTAAGGCTCCAAATCAACTTATCCTAAGCATTGGGTCCCCCCAATCAGCACCGCCATAATTCTCTCGTAGTTAACTGGCCGGAAGACTTCTTTGACAAGCGTCGCATTCCATTTTCGTCGGGTGGAGTCCATAATATCCTCAACCTTGTTGAGGAAAGCTGAGTTAACCGGGCGGCGAGTGAAGACCCTAGGATTTCCCTCGTCGACCAACCAAGCATCCCCTCAAATGGCTGTCTCTTGGCCGTTGCCAATCCTCATCCTCGCCCCAATAAGAAGATGATCCCGCGCTTTCAATAGGCTTTGCCATGTCGCAGAGGGTCGAGACCCTGGAATCGCCGACCACACATTTTCTTTCGGGAAGTAATGTGCTTTGAGAATCTTCGAGAGGAGGATTTCAGGATTAGTTATCACTCGCCACATTTGTTTAACAAGTAATGCCAGATTGAAACAATACAAATTTCGAAATCCCATGCCACCATGTTCCCTTGCCATGCACATTTTGGTCCATGCGAGCCAATCCATCGCCTTCTTATCTGCTTTACCCCACCAAAACCTTTGAATAGCCAATTCTAAGTCGCTGATTAATCCTTTTGGGAGATGCAATGATGTGATCCCAATCACATCAAGCAATCAAAGATCCCAAAGGTTTTCTAGTCATATTTTAAATTGGTCCAGATCAGATTTCAAAGGCATAATCACAAAGATATAAATCTTGGAATGTTCTAATTGATGCAATCACATATTATAAGCCTTTGGAATGTTCAAGATTTCAATAAGGAAAGATACACACGTTTTTTAGGAGATATGAGGGTTCTTTATTAGTGCATTTCAGCCTTGGAAGATCCAGACAATTATTTAAAAAGCTTTCATAATTTAGTTTCGATAAATGTTAATTAGATTTGATTCCATCATCTTAGTTTATTTCCATAGATTAGAGTAGCTGAACCCTATATAAAGGGATCAAATTGTATGAATTTATACACACAACAATGTATTGAAATCATTTTGATTAAGAGTGTGCCTCTTCGGTTCTTCAAGAACCATTGTTTTTTTAAATGAACTTATCGGAGTTGTTCTCGGTGGCGTTCGCCCCTGACTCATCAATCAATCTTCCGCAATTGATTGTGGCGTCTTCGCATACCAAGGTTCTTGTCTGTTTATAGGCAATGGGTTGAGGTTCCACCCCATTGAATCCTTCTTTGGACGGTCCAGGATTTGAAATCCGAAGTATTGATTCCGGGTCTCGTCACGATGTTGGGGTGGTTCGTATCATTTGGTATCAGAGCCAACTTCCCGAGAAGGTTTCGCCTATCCTTTAGATTTTTTTTTTCCGTTTGTTTTCTTTTTTTTTTTGTTTGAGTCTTTTGGTTGTCCATAAAAGTTCTTTTTCCACGTTCTTGAGTCAGTCAAGTTCTTCTATTCCTTATGTATCTTTGTTTTTCTAGAGTCGATCGTCAAAAAAAAAAAAACAAAAAAAAAATGAGCGAGTTTATTTGTTCCTTAATCTTATGAACTCTATTAAGTTTCTTTTTTGTGGCGTCAATATTATAACTTTGGTTCATGGTTCTATATAGCCATTGGGTCAAGTTGGTTGTTCCATACTTCCGGTTTGCGTTTCTATATAAACGTTAGGTCGGGGGCTAACAAGGAAAGTCTAATCTTGTTTATTCTGGTATACGAATTTCA